GTGTTCACGATAATGATGTTTCGGGTGATTTGCTTTTGCACGTTGATGTCGATCAGGGCGAGGGCCCTTATTATGGAAATGCGCTCGTTGTTAAAAAGTGATGAGGAGGACGACAGCATGAATGGTGTTGGTGAGGAGGAAGGGAAGGAAATAAGCAGATGATAGTTAATGATGAGGCATACGATAATCATAACGACGACGGTGGTAATGATGATGCTGATTGTGTTCGTTGTTGTGATGCCCATGACGATGATGATTACTACAACGAAGCGTGTGCTTATGATGATGAGGATGATTGGACGATCGCGGTGATGACTCCGTCGACGGGGGATATATTGATGGCGATCATTGTAACGGTTTTGATTGTGACGGGGGTGGTGCTGATATTGCGATAGTGATTTAGGCGATGATGACAAGTACGATGATGACGCTGTTGTTGGATGCTTTGCGTTTAGACTTTGTTTTTCATGCTATTTTTGCTCTGTCTTTTTTATCTTGGTCCTCCCGTTTGCGTTCTGACTTCGTTCGCGTATTTGTTTTTATGTCTACTTTTTTACTTTCTCCGCTAGGCCTGTATCTCTGTTTATTACCTTTGTTCTTTCTTTTTTTTGCTTCCTTTTTATTTGCTGTTGCCCTTGCACATGGCGGCGTTCATGATACTCATGTTCTGGTGATTTGCTTCTGGACGCTGATGCTGATTAGGGTGATGGTGCTTATTGCGACAATGCGCATGTTGTTGGTGTGGATAGTGGTGACAAGTTAGCTGTTGATGCTAGGTCTTGCTCCCGCCCTGGACCTCGACCCCTAGAGATCCACGAAGGTCCCCGGAGGTCCTGTGTTCGTGGTGGTGATGCCGATGATGATGGCGACAACGATGATGATGAGGCCGAAGTTTTGTCTTATGACGATGAGGAGGGTTTGGACGATCGTGGCGATGATTGCGTCGACGGGGGTACTGCTGATGACGCTCATTGTTACGATTGTGGTTGTGATGATGATGATGATGCTGGTGTTGATAGTTGTGATACTGATTACGATGATGCTGATGAGGAGTACGATGATGATTCGGATGCTGCAGACGGCGACGTTCACGATAATGATGTTTCTGGCGATTTATTTGTGGACGTTGATGCTGGTTAGGGTGATGGCGCTTACTATGACAATGCGCATGGTGTTGGTGTGGATAGTGGCGACAAGGATGTGGTTGATGGTGTTGGCTTCCGCGATGCGGAGGTTGATGCTTATGGGATGTTGACGTTTACGATGATGATACATGTGTTGTTGGTGTTGATATTGATGACACTGATGCTGCCCATGATGTGGTCGAAGATGCCTATGACAACGATGCTGATGATGTTCATGATCATCTTGATGGGCTTTGTCCCACCCCGTCACAGTGCTTGGGTTGTGAGCCAGAGTCCTCGGGGATGTTGTTTTGGGTTTTTGGGGCCTCTTCAGAGTATTATCGGAGGCCTCTGGAGGGCAATTCTTGACGTTCCGCGTATTCCCACCAGCCCATCCAGAAATGATGCCCAGGAGAGTTGACGGGAGAAGGGGGGGAGAGACGCACATAGTGAAACAGCGCGGGCAACATCGGTGAATTGGGGTATCACTTGTAGCGAAGGGTGTTGGTGTTGCTACTGGTGCTGCTGCCTCTGCTGGTACTGCTGCTGCTGCTGCTGGTGTTGCTGCTGCTGCTGGTGTTGCCCGTTCTCGTGCTGTTGGTGTTGCTGGTGCCGCTGGTGTTGCTGCTAGTGCTGGTGGTGGTTGTGGTGGTGCTGCTGGTGCTGCCGCTGCTGCTAGTGCTGTTGGTGGTGATTGTGGTGGTGCTGCTGCTGCTGCTGCTGCTGCTGGTGCTGCTGGTGGTGCTGACAGTGATGGTGGAAGCAGGCTGTGTAACAATCGCCTCGGACGCGTTTTCTCGGAGGTCTCTTGGAGCCATCTTGGGGGTCTCTTGGGGCCTTCTTAGGCATGCTCTTTTTGGGTGTCTTGCGGCCCTCTTGGGGTTCTTTGTGGGGGCCTGGGAAGCCTCTTGGGGCCGCCTTGGCCCCTAGTTGTTCAAAAAGAGGGATGTCCCCAATTCAGGTCCTTTCCCTCGGAGGCTTAAAAAGGGCGTCTTGGGACCCTCTTTGGCCGCTCTTGGAGCACTCTTGGGCGCTCTTGGGGCCGTCTTGGGGCCCTCTTCAGCCCCTTTTGGGGATCCATTTAGTAGTAGTAGTAGTAGTAGTAGTAGTAGTAGTAGTAGTAGTAGTAGTAGTAGTAGTAGTAGTAGTAGTGGTAGTAGTGGTAGTAGTGGTAGTAGTAGTAGTAGTAGTCGTAGTAGTAGTAGTAGTAGTCGCAGTAGTGGTTGTAGCCATAGTAGTAGTAGTAGTCGTAGTAGTAGTAGTAGTAGTAGTCGTCGTA